GCTAAAGTCTCTCTGGGTGCTCGTCACACGAGCAGTTTTCACGTCACAGATGTACGGGTTGTTTGAATGAATCAGAGTTTATGCATTAAGCATATTTCTTGAATGAGCCTTATACTGATCCACTCGTCTGTTCTATTGTTATGTCATTATTCTTTGCCGAATAAATAGTGTACAATATATAACGAATACAATTTATTGAATGATAATATAAATATCAAGGTTAAATAACTATTACGAGGTACGATGAAATACCAGTGATAAATCGATTGCTCGTTTTGTAAACGCCTCGTGATAATTATAAAAGTGTTTGATAAATATTATATTGGTATTGATAACATATCATCTGAAAATACCATTATTATACAATTATTTTGATTCTAGAAAATGAACGAAATTTTGAAAAAAAAACGAGAAATTTATAACAACCCTACAAGCATTCAAAGATATCATTAAGGATATAATTCTATACTACTTCTATAGCAATATATATTCATACACAGCTGCATTGAGAATTGAAACGAAAACGAAGAAAAGAAAAAATAAAACTAAATTGCAATGTCTTATAAGCACTTAAGAAAATTTACTGACATTCCTTTTCACGGTAGATTAACACGGATGCGTGAAAATTCCTAAATAATTCCTATCCTATAATTACGTGTAAAAATGTTACATAAAATATATAAATATAAATGAAAAAAATATATATAAATTATGACGTTCTTATGAATATTTCGTTATTTGTATTTTTAGAATAAATCGCTGAATATATCGAGGGAAAAAATTTCTAATTTATATAAAATGTAAAAACAGAAATGATATATGAATATAATAAATTATAATATTCATACAACATTTATTTTTATATTACAATTATTTTATATTTTTTAAAGAAAGAAAAAAATATACGTTAAATTGTAATGCTACGCGCATAATAAAGGCGAATAAATCGCTATTCACGATAAAATATTACAAATTAACGTTAAAATAACATGTACAAAATTATCACACTTTCTCCCATAATAATTTTTTCAAACAAACGTTTTATTTCATTCTACTAATTGAACATTAAAATGGAAGAAAGTAACAGCCTTCGATACATCGAAAAGAGAAATTAAGAAACGCTGCACGATAGAGCAACCGTGAAATTGGTTTATTTTTAAGTTGTCGTGAATATGTGGGAGCTATTGAGAAAACTTGTTTCCAGAGGCAGAAGAAATTGTTAATTGGAATCCTTGGAAGAAACATGAAAATACATAGAAGAGGTGTTTCTTATTTTACGATAGTTCCAGATAATCTCGTCGCGTATACGGTGATTTGATAGAACTCGTTTCTTCAATGGAATAAAAAATCGTGATTCATATATGCGGACATTACATTCCAGTTCTTCGAAATCCCGATTCGTAATTATATCAAAAATTATCTTAAACAATTTAAATTATATTTAAAAAATTTTCTCTTTGAAAAATAAGCAACTATCACAAAATAAGAAAAAATGAATATTATAATATAAATTTAATCGTTGCAGTAATATTAATTTATTAATAAAACTAATAAAACTGCTGGATTTCGTTAAAAGATTATCGATTGAATCAAAATCCTAATTGTAATATATTGAGATAATCGTAGAAAAATGTATAAATAAAAAAAAAAATAAATAAATAAAAGACTGATATACAGAATGAAAATGTAAGATTGAATGAAAGAAGACAGTTTACAAAACAGACAATGTTACAATATTGAATGTATTTATACATGTTTGATATACTAACGATAAGAGAATCTAATAGTTGCTTATGAAACGAAAGGCTTATCTTCTAAATACTTATTTCATTTCAGATTACATTAACATTGTATTTCATTTGGAGAGTTTAATTTTCGACATCGTAAACGATACTACTCGGAATAGGCGCTAATATAAATATAATTCGTATAATTGTTCGTCGAATCAAATATGTTATCACGTATGTATATTCATCAATTTTGTTCGTAAATTATATTCTTCGAAGAAATTTAACTTGTAAAAAATAATTTTATAGAAAAATTTAATATCAATATTTCTGGATCGCCAAATTCAACTATTTTATGGTAACGAATAATGAAAATTTATTAATAATGAAAATATCGTATCAAGATTGATCAGAAATTAAAATTAATGTGTACTCGTTCTTCGTAAAAATAAAAATAAAATTAGAAAATCGCTCTACTTTAATTGATAAATGAACAGTTAACGATCTATTCCTTCCTCATCTGAAATGAATTATCCAATCTACGTTAATTTCATTTAAATAACACTTCTACATAATTTCTCGCCCTCCCCCCCCCTTCCGCATACATTTTCCTCTAATCCAGATGAAACAAAAGATTTCCAGAATGGGGAATGAAGCTGGAAGGTGGACGAGCAGCTTTCAGGGAGGTATGTTCTTGGAAAACTGTCAAGAAAAACTGTCTACCGTCGAAAGCTCGAAGGGCTTTATGTGTTCGAGGTCTGTTTCGAAAGGTGATAGGACCTGGTTCACGTGCCATGCACATTTCTGGCTGGCTGGCATTCGAGATGGAAAGATCTCGAGGGACGATCTCGGTGTCGCAAGACCGTTCGGGAGATCGTCTTCGTCGTTTGACGAGGATTTTTTTTTTTTTTTTTTAAGGGAGCCAGAGGAGGAGAAGGAAACAAGAGGGGTTGACGCGTATCCATTCGGTAGGAAATCGATCCTCGGTCGATCTACACTTCCACAAGTTCGTTTTTCTGTCTTTCTTTCGTCATCCCCCACCTAGGTCTTCGAAAACATGTCTACGGACCACCCGCGTGTGTGAAAGTTTACAGCTAGCTGCTCGGGAGAGCATATCCATTCGTGGAAAGGGTATGCTGCTCCTTTGGAACGAAACTTCGTGTCGCTATGAAGCATTGTTCCAGATAAACTCTTCTGGACCTCGTTCAGCCTGACGATAACATCAACGGCTACAATGCTTCTACGTTAGTTCCTCGTCTCCGATATCTTTATACGAACAACGCGATTATGCTAGCTCTCGAGATAAACGCGGAGTGAAGTAGCCGGAGTGAAGTGAAGCGAAATGATAGACGCGAGGGAGAATGCACGATAAGGCACGTTTTCGACACTTTTCTCGGTTCTAGATCTTCAGCAGATCCTCAAACTATGTTATTGATTCGCGATAGTGCACACGATTCATGCATCCTCAATCTAAGAATTGTCGGGCCTATGCGCGAGATTTACTACTCTTTCCTTGTTTCTTTTTTTTGAAGTCGATTCGCGAATTATTCTAGTAATATACGCGTATGTATCAACTCTGTATGTTACCAATAAATCGTTTACATGATGTTTAGAGCATTCTAATAATAATTATTATGTTTTTTGATTTTTTGAATCGAGTAATTTATGAATAAAGAAACATGGTTTCCTAAAATATGAAAGAAAAATGTAGAATTTCTTTTTACAGCATGTTATTGGTAACTAGAAATAATTTTTGACAAAAAGAACTGGATGTAGGTGCCTACATTCATCGTTTCTATTTTAACGACTAGGAAGATATAACGAAATACATAATAGAACGGTTGAAAAGCATTTCGGAGAGCAGGCAAACAAAGTAGAGAAATGTGTGTGGAACTAAGGTTGTTCCAAAAAAAAAGAACTTTCATGCTATTCTGTTTTTTTTTTACTATTGAAGTTGAAGTTTTATACTGTGAATATTATTGTATTCTTTTGTAATTCATAAAAAATTATGAAAATAGTTATCGTTATTATTTTTGCTTATAAATATTTTTCAAGTATTCTTTTCATTTTTATATTTACAATAAATAATTCGAATAAGTTATTTCTTTATTTCTTCCTATTCTCTTAATATCGCTTTAAATATGATATAATGATAGGTATAAAAAAATTGGAAATGAAAGAAACTTACCTTCTCGAGTTGATCCAACGCTATCGCTGCATCAGTCCAACTTGGCCTAATGTAAAGGTCCGATTCGTGTCGTTGCTTCGCGTTATCGGCGTTCTTAATATTCTTCTCGTTATGATTTTTCGTAACACTTCCATTCTGTGATGATTGCGAACCTTGAAAGCACTGAGAACCGGAAGGGCGTCCCGCTAGGATCCCTGTGGGGCCGGACGCAGAAACCATGATCCGTCATACATTCGCCCTGGCACAATTCGCAGTATGATTATTTTTATATTACTCCCCTCCAACGTGACGTTTCTTTTTGACTTCTCTCGGTTTTTTCTTCCCCTCTCGTTTTACTCGTAACCGTTTTACTCGTTACCGGACGCGACACGGACTTTAAAAAGCACGAACAAGGCACGAACACGAAAGAAAAGAAAAAAAAAGAAATATCGATATCACTCTGTACACTTGTTATCGTGGTTACACGTAATTTTTGCACGAATCTTTCTAGAAACACTTGTCACAGCACACGTTCAATTGGTAAATTTTGTTTACCGCGCAATTTGTCGACAGTGTATACACGCGATGAGCACAGTAATCGAAATTCGCGCACGAGGTATACACAATTTCTTCTGCGCATGCGCGGCTGTATTGTGCCCATCGATGGTATACGCACAAAACGGACCGAGTATCGGTTTTTAGGTTAGCTTCGTACCACCGTAGAAGAGTAAATACGTGACTGCTCCTTCTTCACCGATTCGTCTCTTCGTTCTGTCTCTTTCTCTATCCCTCTCTTTTGCTTTTTCTACTTGGATGCGGGATCTTTCGTACTCCCTCTCTCTTCTGTATCTCCCTCTCGCGGGATTCACTGTATCGCCGACAAGCACGAGGGCGCACACGCGAGTTTGCTTGTTTTGAAATATCACGCGACAATCGAGAGAAGATTGTCGTCGACTTTACGATGTTTTCGCGGGAAACAGCCACGCTCTTGTATACATGTGCCTTTTTTTTATGTCACAGGAACAAAATAAACGCATAAGTTTCAGCCTTGACGATGATTGAATTCACTGTCTTTCTGTTCCCACGATAATAGCGTGGCATGTAACTACGCACACTTTAATGTCACTGTCACGATCGTTGTCACTTGACACAGTTAGATCTCGTTCGAATATTCACATTGCGCTCGAAGAAATTCGCCACGACTACCGAATTCGTATAAGCGCGGCAATGACGAACATCCGGTTTACGCAAGAAGGCGTAGGCGACGTGAGAGAACGAGAGTGTTCCACAGTCCAGCAGAGGCAGCTGGAAATTCTCGTTAAAGTCTGGTAGTCTCTCTGTCACGCGTTCTGAAACGACGACGTCGTCGTTGTCGTCGTCGTTGTCGTGATCAGACACCGGCGTACACGACCGCCACTTAGAGCAGTCTAAGTCCGTACTAAGCGAAATGCGGTGCCACATTTCTTTCGTGGCCTGCCTTCTGCGCCGGCCATAGTTGACGGCCCCCCTCCAACGGCGCCACTCGCCGAGATCGGTGCTGCACAAACATTCAGGACCGTAAATTCTACGGGCATGTTTAAATATATTTCGTTTGATCGAGAAAATTAATAATTCTACATTTTTTCGTAATAACGATTTATAATATTAAACAAACTTCTAAATAACAATTAATTTAAATTGTAAAAACAATTCTTTCTCATAATAAATTGTTTACGTAGAATACAATATTTTATAAGTGTATATCATATATATATATATATGTATACACATGCTGCATTATTATTTATAAATTTCTAAATAATAATAAGAATTTATATTTAATATTTGAATATAATTGTATGTATTATGCATGTTTCTGATTAATATAAAACTTTAAAATCATATTTTCATTTATATTTTTACACAAAACTATACGTTAGTTTTATGTAATAATCGAAATATTAATATCTATTAAATCTTTTGTTCACACTATCATAAATAAATAACATTAAAATTTTCAAACAAATTAATTCTTTGTGAGAAACTTACTGCATATCCTGATTTTCGCGGTAGAACGATACGTTACTGCAGGTACCGATGACGTCGGAACCGAAATAAGCCGACTTCAACCGAAGTGATCGGAACTTATTCGTGATTGGCCGATTCGGCGTGGCGTTCTACGTTGCTAGGATACGGCGATGTGCCATCACAAGGGGTGCAGGGAGTACGACGCAGGACCACACACGCGGTACCATTTCCCCTCGAGCAAAAACATTACCCACACACGAGAGAAGCTACGTGACACGCACGAGGCACACAACGTCGCTTACAGATCGCCGCAGCATCTTCTTTTCTTTCTTCTCCAGTTTCTCTCTCAATGTTCTCTCCTCGTCATTGCTTCTACACGGTCTTAAGAAGTTTTGTATACGCTCGTTGCATTCTGTGTTAGTAGAGAAGACTCGAACGATTCATGAAGCGCAGTGAACGCGGTCGACGTGCGGTAGAGAGTTGAAGACGAGCGGAAGAGAGCCACCGATGTGTACCGAACGTAAACACGACTTCTTTACGGGTCTCTAGAGATCGGAATCGCTGCTACTCTCAGCAATATTAATCGGGACCGGAAATACAACAGTTTATTACTTCACCAGCAATCGTTTCTTCGCCATCGCCACTAAAGCAAATCTGCATAATTGATTATATGTGTCTCTCCTGCCACTGGTTACGATTTGATTGGCGGCTGCAATTATAGGGTTCGACTGCATTCTCTCTTATTATTATTGTTATCTGCTTCATGTATAATCGAATCAAACGTTTCTTGTGAACGATACATAAAATTTTAATAATTCCTTCGCTCATGTTTTATTATATTTTGAATTATGATTCATACCGTAATCAAATAAAATCTTTTTTATAAACCGTAATTGATTAAAATTTCTTTTATTCACATACCTACAAATGTAACGAAATATTAAATATCATTTGCATAGAAAAAAAAAAAAGATGACTGTTTTGAATATGTTCATTAAACCACAGGAAAGAACGTTACAGCGAACTGATTAACTTATTAACCTGTCTTCATAATATCTGCATAACGATGCAACTTCATTAGGCATCGTATGCCACTCCTATGTTGCGTGTGTGCACGCCAAAATGTTCCTTGGATAGTCTCACATCGGTTCAAGATTAATACACATGTACAGGGAATGAAGGACCAGCGTATGAAAAAGAAAAAAGGGAAAAATAAAACTGTAGAAGTGAGAAAGAGATAACAGACAGAGAAAATTAAATGAAAGGGAGAAAGAGAGAGCGAAACAAACTAGCAGATCGAAAAAGGTAATGTATAAATACGCGACCACCCACTGCGATACTGAGCCCGACACTGTTCCACCAAATACGAGACGATTTTCGATTCCGATACGGATAGTATCGTATTTTTATTTTGCTCTTTGATCCCAAGGATCTTGTTTTCATTGATTGTCTCGAATTTTTGAAATTAATAAAACAATGCTCTTTTTCAGATTAATGAAAAATCTAATGGTTCTCGAATAAAAGATACAATTTTATATAACGTTAAAATTAAAAGTATATTATTTCGTGTTAAGCGTGCAAACATCGACATTTGTTTGCGTAACATAATATCCAAACATGATAGAAGCGATGTCGCAAATAAAACGGGTGGTCTATTCTTTATTCTTGCGTTGCAAAATTATCGTAACATTTGTGCCGAAATTTTACAAGTTTTTATCACAGCCATTTATCTTTTTTCTTTGATCGATAATCATAAATTAATGTATCGTGAAAATAATAAATTATCCATTAATTTTCCGCTTTAATCTATTCAAATTATACTGATCCTGGTCTCTCTCCTCTTTCCATTATTTCTAAGATCTCTCATTATAAAATTTCAAATAATAAATAAAGCAAAACGAAAGTGAAAAAGAATTGTCATTGCATATTGTGGTGGCGGCTTCGATGAATACACCTTATTGCAGTTGCTGATCTGGCGATAAGGCACAACGTGCGGAGGGACCGTTAATAATTTTTACGACACTCTTAACTCGCCACCCAGTATTAAGCGGTCCTCTGTAGAAGACGAGCTTTGATCTTTGCCGACGCTGCATCGACTTAATGAGTGCGAGAGCGAGATAGTTGAGTTAGGCTGAAACAGAGTGCACGACTGACGCACTGTAGATCTATTTTCCATAATATGCACCTCTGTTGTTCGGGTTGCAGCTCTACAGGCTTCCGTATTGCACTTTTATTTTTTCTATCAAATAATATATAAATATATTAATATATTAAATCCAATATTTCATTCGTTCGTTAGAAACTTTTTTTTTTTTTCTTGTAAGTAATACAATGACATTTCATAATTAACAATTTTTAAATAATAAATTCGAAATAGAGCAATTTTGATCATTCTTTAATAATATATTTTATCATAATTTCTCAAATTGTTAATAAATAATTAAATAATAATTATTTTGCATATGTATATTATAATTAAATTTCAATATTATAATATATTCATCCAAAAAAAGCTTTCTTTTTAATATTTTTTTACAGGAATAATTATTGTTCCTCGATTTACGAAGACAAGTATCGTAACAACTAATTAGCAATCTCTCAGATTGCTTCATTAGCTGATCCGAATATTTATACACTAAAAGAAAGAATAACCCTTCTCCCTTTATTTCATTATCATACACTCTTATTTCTCTCGTATCCTCTTCATCGTCTCTCGTATCGTTTTCGCGAGTCAAAAACTGGAAGCAAAAAAATCGAATATATAACATTTAATTTATAGAAAAGAAAGGGGACGCACGATCCAAAATCTTTTTCTTCTTCCCTTCCAGAAGGACATGAAGAACACTGATAAAAACTCATCGATTTAAAAGCAGAAAACGTTTCGAACCACCACCACGAGGACAAAAGGAGGCAGCAATGTCATACACGAAGGAAATAAAGAAGATGGAGAGAGGAAGGGGGAGACGCACTGGGAACAATAAGCGACAATAAGGCAAAAAAAAAAAAGAAGCAGCGACGTACGAGTGAAAAAAAAAAAAAAAAGAAAAGAACTAACATCGAGAAAGACATAGATTCTGATGAAGCAAGAAGCAAGGGAACGACGTAACCAGACGGAAGAGAAGAGAAGAGGGAAAAAGCCGAGGCGAAAGATGGAGAAGAAGGAGAAACTGTGGAAATGAGAGAATGGAGAATGGAGCGTGGGGGAAGAAGAGAAGTCGACTACTTCCCTTACGCAAGACGACTCGATGCGCCACGTTCGTTCACTGCGTTGGCCGCGTTCAACGGTGCGTGCACATGAGAGACACGAGAGATGCTATCGGCCACCAAGACGGCTCTGGACTTCTCCAGACCACCCACCGGCAAAATAATAAACACGGAATGCGGCATACACGTCCGTCTATCCATCCGTCCCTCCATTCGTTTGTTTCTATTTCGCAGATACCATCGAAAATAAGGTCTCCCGTCGATACCGCAGCTGGCCATCGCCGATACTACTATGCCTTTATCCCCCATTGTTGCCTCGTGATGGAACAACCTGGGTAAATTCGAGGTGAACCACTACCGACAGAGGATTCGTTCGATCTCTTTACCGGTAATAACCGGGATCGATGAATATTGTTGGATGGAAAATGACAGTGAACCGAACATCTTAATCTGACGTGATCGATGGCCGAGTTAAATATTGGGATCATTGTTGTCGATTGGTGTAAAGCTGGACTATTTGGAGTATTGATAATATCGAGTTTTCAAATCGAGTTTAAAAATATTGTACTGTTTTGTTTAATACGGATCCTCTTAATTCCTCCTAGTTTATAGTTTTTTTTTTTTTTTTTTTTTTTTTTTTTGATGTAAGTGTAAGTTTAAATTTGCAATTGTACGGATTAAAATAGTCGTTTACCGTTAAAAGATTTCTCGATACGTAAAACGTGCATCCGTATCGCGAATGGGAAATATAATTCGTAACGGTATTTCAGGAGAAAGTATATAATAACTGTCGAGAATAAAATTGTTCAGAATAGGTTATAAAGGTTGAGAATAGAGGTGTAAAAGTAACGCATGTTATTAATATTACTTTTGCTTAATTGAATTGCACATTTTCTTTTCTTTCTCGACGCCTGTTACATTATGTTTGTTTCCAAACGCGAAGTTACAAACATGAGGAAAGTCGAGAATTTACAGCCCTCATAATGCACTCATTAAACGAAATGAAAAACGTAAGTAAAAATATAATATTCCATTAATTCAAATGATCTTCGAAACGAGATCATGTATCATATATCAATTCATTTCTCCGAAACATCTCCATTTCAAACATCTATCCACCAAAATATTGAATTCATCATCTATCGATTTAAATATAATCTACAGTCTACAAGTAATACAAGACCGGTAAATTCGAAGCCTTCAAACATCTATCTTCCTAATCACACATTTCCATCCATTCTTCGATTTTCCATCTTGCGGTATTGTAGGACAACGTCGTTAAGTTCTATCCAACGATGACTAATGCCAAGGATGAGCGGCTCGTCGAACAGAGGATCGTCCTTTGCCATTGTAACAAGGGGAATCGTTACTCTTCATCGTGAGCGCAGACCTGTTCGTCGAACGAAAGGAGATAGAGAGAGGGAGGGGCGGGGGGGGGGGATCGTAACCCCCGTGGCTATCTGCATCTACGGCCGCTACCGGTGCTTCTCGTCGATAGATTATCTACGATACGGCCGCGTGGTTGGATGCACGGCGCCGAAACACCGCGGGGACATCGACTTCCGGTGTTGGCCGACCCTCCAAGAAATTCCGTTCCGGACGAGGAATTGTCATTATCTTCGTTGACTCGGCGGATTCTTTGTCCTCTCTTCCTCGTTTCCTTTCTTGTTACGTGGCCCGTTGTACAGATACGATCTACTCTGGCGACTGCCCGATACCGTGAATGGTAATTATCGGTTGATTATACGGAGCGAAAGTCACGCGTTAATTAAATGATTATGGCGGCGGTGAAAATTGGGGCCGAAAAATGTTTCAGCGATGTTCGCACGGTGAAATTAACTTCTTCAACGTCTCTTTTATTAAAGAGATTAATTTTTTTTTTTTTTTTTTTTGGAGCGAAGCGTAGAACGCTTATTTCTTTCTTTCTTTCTTTCTTTCTTGTGTGTTAACAAGAGTTCTTTGTTGTCGGGAGGAGAAACACGACAAGTTTATTTTTATGCGAAATTAAAAATTTTCCAAAGATGATGATCCTAAAAAAATAATAATGAATCAGAATTAACGAATGATTGTTTTAAAAATAAATGAACAATTGAGAAAATTCGTTCAATGACCAAAATAACGTGACTATATGATAAATGTATAGTTTAAAAAATTGATTATATTTTTTCAAAGTTAATAAAGTGGGAGTTGAAGGAAGAATTCTTAAAAAAAAATGGAGTCCATTATTCTTTTAAAATTCAATACGCGTAATTGTGTATATAACAATGATAAGATGAGCAATTTTTATAATATTTGAAAATTTTAAGATATTAGAAATAATAATTAAGAATGGAATTATCGAAAATGATTTTTAAAACGTTCATTTCATGTGGCTAACATTTGCGTAGTGGAAGTAATGTTAGTTTTTATTTCTACGCTATGTAAAGAACGAAGCGTTTAATTACCTTCCATATCGTAAAACATTTATAGAAAAATCTTTTATAAAAACTGAATATTTCCGCAACGCCAATGGCGCGGAACATAAAATCAAATATATCGAATTGACGTAACTCTGTTTTTTTTACAATTGAAAATTACACCATAAAAATCAAACATTATTACTTCGTCCATTTCTTCTTCGATTCCGCTTCCGCGATCGAATATTTATTACATTGTGGTTTCACGCATGCAATATAAATAATTTTACTTCATCGATATATCGAATTCCATCATGGAAATAAATAATATATAATAATCATTTCACACGAAAAATTTGCGACTTTTTCCCGATCAATTACTTACAAATTAAAAATTAAATTCCATTTAACAGCATATATCTCTGCTATCTTTGATAAGAAAAAAATTTGTTGCAACCTCTATTCAATTTCAATATTAAAATTTTCGTCATTGAAATTTTTATATTCTACGCTAAAAATATATGAATAAATGAAAAACAAGTCAAGTAATTTTTTAATGATATTACATAATCGAAAAAACGTATAAAGAAAACTTGCAAACCATTGCTAATAATTTTTTTCAAAACAGATACATCTTTCTTAACTGTCCATCAACTGCGAATCACTTGGAGTAATAATAATTTGGAATAAAATTCTTGAACGAATAATAACAAATCGTGATCAAGTTTTTCGTTCTCTTCAAATTACACCACGAGAACAAATATAAATCACTTATGATAAAAAAAATAATATATATATATATATATATTCACCTATGTACCACTTACTTCGAGCGTTAAACGTTTCACAAATTGGTCTACAACCACCGCATATGGAATCGAATCGATTGATGGACCAAATAAGGAGGGAGAAAGAAACACGATATATAAAATGAAGAGAAAAATAGAGCGAGGGAAGGGCTTGTACAATGTAAAGGTGAATAGTAGGAGTGAGAGAACAAGGAGGAAAAAGGAGGATATCCGACTTACTAATTGCGACGACGTAGGTGGTCCGTAGACACACCGCGGGCCATGACGAAAAGCGATATCTGGCCAGGGCCAGAGACCAAGGACGATACATCTCCGTGGTTAACCCGGATAATACGAATCGAAATCGTGAATTCAACCGCGGACGATTTGTTGAGTTTCGTTCAAGGCAGTCTGCATAGAGAGTGTTGCGCTTGGTGTTCGCCGAGTTAATACGATTCGGTAGCAAGGACACGAAACTTTGTACCGTTATTCATGCTTTTGCACGAGTCTCTCATGACAATGGCTCGCATCGCGCGTACAAATAAAGTAGCATTAAAGGCGTTATTTATGGAGCATGAAACGTGCATAAAGGTGGGTTGCAATGGCATAATAAAGTAGAGATCTTTTGATTCTTTTTTTTTTCATTTTCTTTTTCCTGGAATCACAATGCATCTTCGCGAAGCACACACGTATTATACGTACGTATTGTGCGAAGAATGGAATAGATGGTAACATTGGTTTCATTCATTTCGTCCATGGCATTTTATTTGTTCTTCTGTATTCTGTATTTCTTCTTCTTTTTTTTTTTTTTTTTATTCATTATCATGGATTATTATTACGATATTAAATGTATATTTATGTATATTTATTATTACCAAGCGCATATATGTTTTATGCTCGTAAAAAATTGTCATAATTGAGCATGTTTTAATAATAGAATTACTCTTGAGAATAAATAAGAGTTAATGATTTTTACATTGAAATAAATCCGTTACGAAGTCTAAGAACTTTCCTCACCTTCGCGTAAGTACACTTCGCTGCTCCTTCAGAGGTGTAAACCTTGTATTCACAAGATACTTATCGTAGCATGGAAACTCTTATCGGATTCAATCTCGAAGTCTACTTTGACGAGGGTATAGCAGATAATCCAAACTTCACGCTATTTCGTTCCATCGTGTACAATCATGAAATTTTCTCTATTCGTTTTTCTTCCTTTCGCGTAGGTGAAGTTGCTCGCATGCTTAATCCGATTTATGGAAATCTTCTATCTTCCACCAAAGCCCCTCTACTAAAAATAATTCGAAATTAATAAAGGAACGATATAAAATTTTGTTTAAAAATTCAAAATTCAAAAGAAATGTTTCTAAAAAATTAACCAAATTTTAACTTAATTTTTCGTCGATGGACAAATTGCTTGACTTTCGAAAAGTTAAGCGCATATTTACCTTAGTGAAGTATTAAAAAAAAAGTAATAAATAAATGGAAAGAAAAAAACTTCCAGACTACAATCATTACAAACTCATAATTTACATTAGAAACGTGACGATTGTACAGTGACCATTGTTACCTTTGACGAAACCCATTGCAAACATTCGATGACTTTTCCCAAAGCGATCCCATAACCGTTTTAACTCGTGCCAAATCTGGGGAGAACAATTCTTCTCTGGGAAGAGTGCTCCTCGAAACCTACTACCAAGAAAAAGGGAAAACTTTCCTGCTAGACTGGAAATCGTTCGCGCAGCTGGATAACCATTCTTCGCCGATTTCCAAAATATCCGGGAAGAAAAACGTTTCATCGTGCGAAACGTTGGGTTGGTAGCCCAAGAAAGTTAAAGGGCGTTTCTAATTTCACCTAAGAGAATTGTCACCGATTGGAAACCCGGCGGCCTGGATGGTCCCCGTTCAAGTAGAGGACCCCCTCGACAATGGGTCATTGTGACGGTGGCGCGCCGCTCATATGCAAATGAGAAAAGAATTAAATGTGTATATATATATATATATATATATATCGGACGATAACTTTGTTTGAATTAGCATTACCTGCTTTTATAAGTGTTGGGCCGTGTCGAAGATACGACGGTTGCACTCTTATGTATGGGTTCACGTGCTCGTCGCGGGTGAGCTCGATGGTGGTCCCGAGACGTGATACCCGCGAGAAGTTTTGCGAATCGTCGTTTCTTCGTTATTCGATTTGCCGATACCAGAGCTTCTGGCCAGTGTTTTGCAGAACGATATCGAGAACGTTGTTAATCACGCGTCGTGATTAGATAAATGACTATCGTTAACCAAACGCGTGAGGGAAGATTTCTTGGAATTTCTGGATTTTCCTTAATAACAAAACGACAAGAATATTATGATGAGTTTGCCTATTAAATAAATCGCTACCTACTATCAACAAATCATACATTTCGGATTAATTCCAGCGTGAAATCGAACAACAAACTTCCTAACAAACCCTAAAAAAAAAAGAAACACATCTTATGACCCATAAAGTGTAGATTTGAGCGTTAATAAAAACAAAAGTGGTTTTTTAACCCACGCCCGAATTTCCGTGAAAGAAGACTCACCGTTACTCACCCCCCATGAAATAAACCTCGCAATCGCGACTTCGAGAACGAAGTTTATCGGACGAACACCGTTGTCTCCACCCGACACTGTTTTCCACTTCTTCGATATTTTTTGAGAGACAGAAAAAGAGAGAGGGTGCGAACGTAATAAAAAAAAAAAGAAATACACGAGAGCAAGGGGAGGCGGGGGAGGGGGGAGGGGGGGGGAGAAGGCGTTGCTCCAACCCCTCGCCCTCACCATCGGCTCGAAATCCAGAAAGTCAGTAAATTTTCTTGCGCACTACCTGTTCAACCAGCGTGTATCCGCTTGTATACCCTGTTTGCGTAGGACGGGGACCACCCAGGTCGTCTGACGCCTCTGCCGTATCCTCGACGTGGAATTGACTTAGCGGAATCCGGGGCGAGAGGGGGAGGGACGAGGGACAACGAAAAGGAGGAGAAGGAGAAGGAGGAGAGGGATAGAAAAGGGAGAGAGGGGGGGCCGGTTTGTACGTAAGCAACGAAGCCTTTAACCCGACCTGGTCCAGCACGTTATTTTTCATCTCATTGTCCGTCGACAGGATCGTCGACTCCCCACGTTGGCCACGTTCGAGAGTGGAACGTGTGGGGCGCCGGGGCTTCCTATTCGATTCGATACATTTCGCTCGATTCTTGAAAAGGGTGCTCTGCTCCCCTATTTACAACGAGGATCTCTCAACGAGGATCGATAAGATGATCGAGAATGGTTTAGTTTTCAGAACAGAGACGTAACAAGAACTCGTGTATCATCTTCGGTGGGACAATGAAAATTTACAGCAATCTGGTTACTTGATTAAAATCCATTTCATTGATATCCTCCCCTCCCCTCCTCTTCCCATTCATATTCACACACGTTCGATTCCCTCTCTCTCTCTCTCTCTCTCTTTGCAGATTTACGCATCCTCGTTAAAAAACGGTTACATCGGGATCTGCATGCGGAGGACACGAGCAGAGGGAAGAAAAAGGAAGGGGGATCGGCTGTTACTTTTGAGAGAGAGAGAGCGGGACGGTAATTTCTCCTGTCCACCGGGGTGTGGAAGTTGCACGCGTGGAATAACGCAGTCGAGGAGAAAGCAGAGAGTTATCCTTGCATAAATACGACGTCGGAACGTCGTCGTTGTAAAGTCGACACGGAACATACTTGTTACGTTCCTGGGCCGTGAGCCACCGGCTGCAGCCTCTCCGCTTCGGTGCTAAGTAAAATGATATATCGCGGTTAAACGCGGCCCGCGGCCGCGTGTGCGTGCCTGTATCACCGCCGATGTATACGTATACGCGTTACACGTGGCCGTGCTTAATATCGGGACGGTGTTGGTGAGTGGGCCACCCACGGTGGCCCCGCTGGACCACCCAATGAGCCGCGCTATTATAAGGGGCCGTCTCTACTTCGCACTTTACCTCGATCCGATACTTCGTTGCTCCCCTTTAACCCCTTCACCGGGACTGACACATTGCTCGAATCGAACCAACAACTTTTTCCTCCTCTCTTTCTTCCCTCTTCTTTTCTTCGAACGGACGGTGTCGCTTCGTTATCCATTAATTTCAAACTCGTCGAGATCTCTCTTTCGTGAGATTAGAAGGTTAGATGGACGGTTGTGTGTAACAAGTTCTTGTTGCGAAGAGCAATTTTGGGGAAGGGAAGTAATGATAATAAGGGGGAGGGAGGAAGGTGTGAGTTATCGAATCGGTCGGTTAATAAATGTTGCGTTACGATCGTTTATTCGCTACCATATTCGACACTTTCTTTCCTTCGAAGGCTGACACGTGCAACGTGTATGGCCTTGCGACGCCGGCAGATTATACGGGGTGTTCGAAAGTGGTGGTCCTAAACGAATATTCGTTCTCGTTCGAGTGTTACACCTATCCGGGAAGAGTCCTACTTTTTTGAGACTCATGTACAATTACGTATCAGGAAAAATGGTTTAAAAGTTCAAAGTTTAACTTTTCCCAAATTTTTCTCTGTATCTCTTTAAACTTGTTTAAACTTGTTAAAATTAAATAAGGATCCTCGTTTTCGTAAGCGACGGATGATACGACGAATTTTAATCAAACGTGCGATCAAAGTAATTAAGTAATTGCGAAATAGTATAGAAATAACACTGTGTTCTTGCCAGTTGGAAACAGGGCCTTAAGAAGAAGAAACGCACAGCCGACTCACAGTGATACACGAACGGCGACACGCTAGCGCGATCCGTGTGCGTGTGCAAATCGTGCGTGCCAACTTCCGCGGTGTATAACAGCCTGGGTGGTCCACGATCGGGGAATACGGGGATTAGATAGCTCGATAAGAACGTACACGCATTTGTACGCACACCCCGTCGCGGTTACGTGTGGTACCCTCGTACTGCGCTTGAAATCGTTAGCTTTCGAGCTGATGGAAATACAGTACTAACGATGAATTGTGAGCCTCGCTCGGCCGAGGGAACGGCCAGAAATTATATAATTGAAATTTTATCTCGCGGCCGGATCCGAGTGTTCAGAACCGCTGTGTAAACGCCGCGACGCTTCTGTCGTATTTCTTCGTGGCGTAATTCCTTCCAGCCGCCGATTAATCATTCTGAAAATTTTATAGCGCGCGTTTTATTACCTATATGCTTTCTTCTTTCACTCTTTAATCTTTAACAGAACGATCCGGATAATATTTTTAATCGATAAAACAAGCGAATCGTAAAATGTCTCGGAGCAAATCAGCAAGACAGATAGCTAGTTTTTTTTTAATTTGTTTTAATGAGAGAAAAGTGAAAACGTTCGAATTATCTTTCAAGACGTTATTGCTTACTACGATCGAAACAAAGAATTTCGAGGAAATCGTCTCCACGCGCGTAAAATATTAAAACACCCGGCTTGAAAAAATTCAACCGACGTAACGTATCCACAATTTTGCAATTATGTCACCGCAAATGACCACACGCTCCCTCATACATTTTCAACAAACGCTCCCCGCTCACCTCGTAAATCAATTTTATCGCGCGGGGAGGTTAACGCGGCGCGCAACATCGACGCATGCTTCGCTTAGATACGAGCGTATTAGGCAAATTTTGCCGCGAACACGCTCGCCGACTGCAAATTTCTCGGCGCGGGGATCGGCCGAGCCACCACTTCCGCCGTCGGCCGGCCGGGTGGTCCGCGTTTTAACGCGCGCGACACATCGCCCTTTTCGCAAATTTTCGGCTACAACTCGGAGAAAAATGTATGACCCGTTGATAACACACGTCCCGAATCGGGAATCGAACCTCCCTTCTTTCTCTTATTTTTACATCTCCCTCGAAAAGGAGGCGTAGAAACGATCGAATTAGGCAAATGCAACAACGAAGTCGGACACGTTCTCGCGGACGCGAGATTAATCACTTCTTAGACGCGAGTGTCGTTGTTGGTTATATAGGCAGATAAGTTGGCTTTTCTTATATGCTTGTTTAGTCTAGTTTACACCGGTAGTTATAAATTTAAGGTATTTCGATACCATTTAGATTACGCATAATTATTCGAGCCTGTTGCAGTATGATAAAATTATAAGATTTGATTTAAGATAAGATATAAGACGACGTCGAATCGATATCTTAAACCCGCGAAGCGACCCGTTCAAACGAGCTTACGTTCCCTCGAAAAAAAAAAAAAATGGAGAACGAAAACGATACAGCCTCGGGCGAGCAGCTATTTTACGAGGCGGGGTGTTCAGGTTGAACGGAGCGCGGCGTGTAGGTCGGAAGAAAAATCTGTATTGCGCGCATTCGAGAACAAAGAAGAAGCAAACACGCGAGTTCTCCTCACCCTGTTAACGTCGCGATGCCATTATCGTGGATAGAGAGAAACGTCACCACAAAGTACGAATTAATTTCAATCACAGCCCTCGACGTTGCCCGATAATAAAAGAAACAAGAAGAGATTCCTCTTAAACGTTCCTCTCCCTGTATCAATTTTCATTCTCCTCGTCCATCTTCCTCCCATTTCCTCCCCCTTCTTCCGCTCCACATTCCTTTCCTTTTCTGAAATTATAATTTCAAATGTACATCACACCGCGGGACGTGCACAGACACGCGTGTCGTCGAGGTCTCTGCTAAATGCTCCAATTATTAATTTACCTCGCTCGCTGTGTACGCAAAGACGGGTGCAACGTGTTATTCCGCGCGTAATGACGTTCTGCGGGTAAGGGAGAACCCGATCTTACCTACCGTCCCTCTTCCCTACTCGTTTTCGACGGTATTAAGCGGGCCCACGTGGTTGCCCTCGGGCCGAGAAAAGATCGGTTTTTCGCCCTCCTGGCACCGGATGTCGGATTGCGGAAAATCGTGCGATGGACGCTTTCACTCGGCGTTGATCGTCGGAATGTTTCTTCGTTTTTTTTTTTTTAAATTAACGCGATGAAAGTAAGAATGCTGGCGGCAGATGACGACTCTACTTCGATGATTAGTTTCATCGTCTGAGTGAGTGGTAAATTTAAGATGAATGTTCTAATTAATTTCTATGTACATATATATATATATATATATAGTGACGGATGATGATGGATATTATCGTTTCATAAATATCAATTTATCGATAAAAGAAGACGTAAGATCGTATAATAAATGGATTAAAATTACTTATAAACTTCTGTATTTGTAGGGAATAACATCCATTAAAATTTATCTTCGGTGAAATAAGACGTCGTTTTAAGATTTTTTTTTTTTTTTCCTAAGAAAATATATTTCTTTCCCAACATTTTCCATTAATAACACGCCAATCCGTGTCCCCATTTATCTTCTACATCATCTAATTACA